TAGGCTTATTCAACAATGGAGGAACACACTCATCTTGTAAGAGAGAGCTCTTCAAATCTTCTTCTTAATGATGGTGCTCATGAACCTTTTCAAATTGACAAAGGGAAGGCACCATCTTCAGAAGTGACAACTTTAGGTCCTGGAAACATGGCACGGGCAACTCCTGCCATGGTGTTGGATGAGGGAAGGAGCAAGTTGAAGCGAAAAGCTGAACATGAAAAAAAGGAATCTCTTGAAGAACAGGTTAGCATTTACCTTTGAAACTTTTGCAAAACAATGTTTGGAAGCTCTTACTAATTGTCAAGTTGCTTTGGCAGCAAGATGCAATATGTGTGGGTTTGGATAGAAAAATCCAACTTTAGGATTAACCACGTACATATTTTATTAATCTTTTTTCAGAGTATTGAGGACAGACTAAAGGCAATCAATGCTGAAGCTGCTGAGACATCAAGGTATTTTCCACATTGATTCTGACTGCTTCATTAAAAAAACCATTTGAGTTGACAGAAGTGTTCATTTGAACTGTGCAACCCTAGTACCGTGTTGATTGCCCTGGCCTTTTGCAGTTTGATGTGGCATCCCTGTTCTATAAAGACCTCTTTTCTTAAGGTTATATTCCACAGATCAATGTTTGACAGTGTTCTGAAAAGTTATGCTGTATTTTTTTTCGTTTAGGAAAAGAGGAAGTGACCGCCCCACGGCTGATTCATTGGCCCAGATGCTCATACAAGCTCTTCATAGTCAAGATAACTCTCTAATGGAGGTCAGATATTGTGAAATATTGCATACATGTACAGTGAAAACAGCCCACACAGTGATTAAGCTCATTAATGTGCTCTACCTGCATGTCACTGGAATCTCCAACTGAAGCTAATATGAAGATTGTTTCCTTGGATAGTCCTGTTACCCTTTGAAACTTAAGAATGACTAGCATCTAAGTTCTCCTTTCAATAACACCCGGCTGCCTCTAACATGTTGATAAATATCGTTTATGATCCCAAGAGCATAGTGAACATTAGCATTTTAATACGGAATTTAAGGACTCAAAATAGCTTGTTCTTATCATTTTAAAGCCCTCCTATTGATGTAAATTATAGTATTGTCTTTAACATGCTTGTAAATTCCTTTTTTAAAGACTGTGTTATGGCATGGCAGTGTTAATAAATCAATCATGAAAAATACAGTCAGAAGACTTCCAGTGAATCTCGCAGTTCCATTCTTGAGAGAGGTTTGTTACTTAGCTTTTTGTACCCTGTATAAAACGAACCAGCGAGAGCTATTAAGGTAGTCAACAAAAGCACGATAATTCTGTCAGACACACGCCCAATCAGGGCTCCAAGCTTGCTATAAACTGGTCATCCAAGATAAAATCTTTAGTCGCCATGAAAAAGAACACTCTATGCAACATTGCATTACATAATAAACCGCTGACCACAAAGCTCCTCTGTGGAGTAAGTAATACAGACGGTACTTGCGTTTGGAGATTCATGCAACATCTCAAGGCTTAATGTTAAGGCATCTAAGGATAAAGAAGAAGATCCTTTGGAAGAAATTGACAGAGTCTGAGTAATATGTTAGTGGAAATGTACTGTGACAAAATCGTCATGGATTTTCTGTTTTTTACTTCAGCTTGTTCACAAAATTCAAGCCGCACCAGGAAGGTAAGGAAAGCAGTGTATATGTTATAGCCCTTTACACATATTTTTATATAATTGATTATCCGGAAAGTTGGTTTAACTAACTTCACAGATCAACAGTAACATTTCTCGAGAGAGATGTTACCACAGTTACAATCTTAAAACATGTCTCCACCAAATATTCTTCTCTGTTTTGCCTCTATTTTCAGGGGGGAAGGCTTGGTGTTGTGGATCAAACATATTTTAAGTACACATATGGCATATCTTATGACGGTAAGTTATTTTTATGGACACAACTGTTTCTTTCCTCCTCCTTTATAAAGTTTGGTACAGGATAATGGTTTGCAAGTTTACCAGAGGACTTTTTGCTATTATTTCTTCCTTATTTTAAGCACTAAAGGTAAAAGAACTATTCAATTTTAAAAGCAATCCTTTTACCTGTTGAATTTTCAAGAATTTTCGGCGATTTTTTATGGTAACTATAGGTATTACAGTCTTTCGGAAGTAACGCAAGCGGTGCGTCAAGTGCTCTGTTGAACGCTAGTGTGCTGCTTCGCAAACTAAATCGTTTCCACGGAAAATTCTTGAAGCGTCCCTCAGCTACAATG